AAGCAAACAAGGCCACGAACGCGGCCGTAGCAAGCGCCTGCCACCAGCCGGCCACCCCATTCAAGTGCCTCGGGCCACCTGAAGTATTTGGCGGCTGTGAGCCGCCACTGGCCGTGGTGCCGTTGGGCAGGGTTCCGTTGATAAGGATAGTTTCGGTACCATCGACGTCACCAATGCAGACCACGCTGCGGTTGAGGGAGCTGTAGCTCCCGTTGCCGATGATGCTCAGGATATAGGCTTGGTCGTTATTGTCGTCACAGCCGCATACCTGGTAGGGTTCACAGCCGCAGATTGCCGGCTTGACTTCATCGCGGTCCGATGTCTGGTTGTGGTAGTTCCACGGGTAGTCGTACGGATACAAGTACGGTGCATGTTGCCATACGCCCGGCCAGAAGGCCACACTCACGAGCACAAATGGGACAATTCCACCGCTCGAGCGCGAGCCCGCGCGGTAGGGGACCGTTGTTCCGCCGCCGTAGAAGCGCCCGCCGCCGTATGCAGGCGCCACACCTGAGCCGGTTGTTGTTCTACCGCCGGAAGACGAGGACGGGGACGAGGACGAGGCACCGCGACCACTACCAAACATAATTGATTTAGTTGATTTTCGATATTTGAAGGCTTCTTATCGCCTTGCCATGGATGAAACCTTCTTTGCCTTATCATGGAGATCGTCGGTCGAGTCGGCTAGCTTACCCTGATGAGCCACTTGAGGACCCTGACTTGGAGGACGAAGTGCTTCCTCCCCTTCCGTGTGAGCCGCCGCCGCCGCGGCGCTTCCACATATCGGCGTCGATTGCTGCATCAAAATGATGATGGTCGAGGTCTGTTAGGTTACCGAAGGATGATAGCAGGCTGGTGCTCTGGGAAACAGCAACAGCCGTCATAGTTGGTTGCAGGGCTGCGCCGGTCGCCATGATCGAACTGAGCTTCATGATTCTTTTATTGACGGCTTTGGAGATAAAATTTTGATGGCTTGTGATTTATGCACAAAGACTTCAAGTTTGTGGATGGGAAAATTCAGACAAACAAAAGCCGCCGGAAAGCCCTGGGAGGTAGCCTTATATAGCCATCATGTGGATGTGGAATACTGGAACCCTGCTCCTAGCAAGCCAGTCACGCGCTTGAAGTTTACGATGCTAGTATGTATCCTATAGACCGGTCCTGGATGATGATACCATGCTGGAAAGCCAGGCAGCCGGGAGGCCAAAAATCAGCCAGACCTCGAGTACCGCCCGGCCACAGCCTCGACTCGCCACTCTGGCCAGTAATAGCGGAC